GAACTGTCAGATATGGTGTCAAAAAAATTGAATGCCTCCTGCAGACTCTTACTCATAAACTCTCCTTGAGCTATCATTTCGACAAACTGACATAGTCTAATGGGCAATGAGTAATAGAAAAATCCTACCAAAGTCCAATTCTCAAAAGCATGGTGCGGGCAGGGCTCGAGAAGATCCTTGAATCTCTCCCTAACTTTGACAAAAGATTTCTCCTTCTTTGATCGAAAAATTCATGATTTACCTTTTCAATGCATTAATGCGGTGTAGAGGAAAAAATTTTCTGAAATATTTATTTTGTAGTGCCCGTCAGTCAGCTTTTAAAGAATTTAGTCATTGGTTAACTTTATCCTTTAGAGAAAATGAAAAAAGTTTCATTTTGGCTAGCTCAGAATTGTTTTGAAACGTTACACATACTTCCTCAAACTCTTTTATGTGCAGATATGAATTTTCTATTTTTAGTTTATGGAATTGAGGGAGTAGTTGAACTGTTCTCGACTTTACAGTAAATAGGGGTGCATCTTCAGGAAAGATAAAACAAGAGGGAACACTATTTCTTGTGGGATTTAAGTAATCCCACAAGATTCGAATATTAGGCACTTCTCCCTCTCTCACAGGGACTTCTCATTGCCTCTCATTGTTTGTCATATTATTATCAAAAGGGTTTACTACTGATCTAGGTGAAGATGGTTCAGACTAATTCACAGATCCAGCAAATTCTGTTGGCAAATTTTGGAAGCAAGGATCGTCCCCAGACATTAAAAAAATAGTTTATACACAATAAAGCAAATAAACAATATATACAAAAAGGAAGGTTTTCTTACCTTTTACCTTAAAAAAACTTTTATAGTTCCCTGGCAACGGTGCCAAAAACTTGGCTTGATCTGATATGTGTACACCCAAGTGCAGGCAGTCAAGTTGTAGTAATAATCCAGTTAAGTACGGAGTCGAATCCATAGAAAACTATGATTATTGTTTCGAAGTAGCAGTGATAGAGACCAAGTAACTGAAAATTTTGAGAGTTTGAAGTTATGAGATTTCCTAAACAAATTATAAGATTCTTTCTAAGAGTTTTCTAGACAAAATATAAGATAAGTTCAAATTTAAATAGTCACCCTTTAGCTCGAGCATCTGAACATGTAGTTAATCATTCGATTTATTATACTTGTGCTTGGTAACTCAATTAACTCCCGTGTCAACGGTAAGTTAATCGGAAGGTAAATGTGGATTGTACGAATTAAGCACATGGTTCTGATTCCTTTCTAGAAGTTTACAAGAATTTTCTGTGCCGAGACTCAACCCATCTACAAACAAGCAAGTGTTACTACAAGGCATCCAACCATGACATTAATATTTCATCTTTTAAATGAAGTCCAATAATGATGAAGATTGAAAGGTAGTCATGAAGATCTAGCCAGAACACTTGCCTTGAACACATGAATCTTTCTATGCAAGAGTCATCCATGTCATAGAAAGAATTCACGGTTATACAAAGTACCTTAGCTTTGCTAGATGCATTCAATTATTTAATAAGCAGATGTAATATAAAACATTAAAGCATAAATGTAATGCACAAAATATAACTTTAAATGATTTATACATGTCCATCACCTCTTACTAAAAAATAAATGAGAAATTATTCACTCTTCATGACTTTGGTAAACCTAGAAAAATGAGTGATATTCATCTCCCAAAACAGAGGACTTGCAAGGTAAAGTACAATAAGCGAGGAGCTGATCTTCAACAANTGAGAAATTATTCACTCTTCATGACTTTGGTAAACCTAGAAAAATGAGTGATATTCATCTCTCAAAACAGAGGACTTGCAAGGTAAAGTACAATAAGCGAGGAGCTGATCTTCAACAAAAAATGAGTGAATCATGTTCCACCCTTCATGGATTTGATAAAGCTCTAGAAAAGTGGAAGGACTTCACTCCTCTAAGAGAAGAAGGAAGCTCAAGCAATGAAAGTGAAAGACAATAAATGAAAGTAGAAGAAAGTTAGTCACTTTTGGAGAGTTTTCACTACAACCAAAAGATGATCTATCTCCCTTTATACAAGTAAATATACGACTAAGTCTAAGACTAATTATACAACTACAAGTGGGAGTCTAAGCCTCTTTCAAGGTCTCTACTAGTTCTTGGTTTAGTCTAAGCCTTACAAACCAAGTCTAGTTTTCTCCCAAAAATCCCTATATGTCTCTTTTACAGAAGCTCCCACAATGGGAGTATTTATAGGCAAGGAAAGGGAACAAGAGAGTGTGAAGGAATAGTGTATGTCATCCAAGTCCAAGTGAAAGCCAACTACTCTGCAGATAGTCTAGTGACAACATTTGAACGTTGTCTCTGTCTTTGTTTGATGGGCATTCGAACGTGATGATGGAGTCTGACCTTCCCACTCAAGTGGCTTGTAGTCTTCTGTGAAGTTCATTTCCACACTCCATGCAACAGTCTGGTCTTCTCATGATTTATGGTAATGTTCGAGCGTTGATTGGTGTTCGAAGGTAGTACTCAAGTACCTCAGGGTCTTCCTTCTTGACTACAACACGTCATGTCTCAGCAGTCTAGTCTTTACATGATTTAAGGTAACGTTCGAATGTTTATTGGTGTTTGAACGTTCTTGCTTTGGTCTAAGCTTTTTCCAATTTTTGCTCCAATGCTGCATGAAAGTCTCTTGTACAATTTATGCCCTGAAAAGTCATCATTTAAACTCCATCAAAGTACAATTAGTTCTAAAAAGGCAAAGTGTTATGTTATTTTTAACTACTAATCAGTAGACAGTTGAGATTTTCTATATCACCTCATATTTTTTCATCAAAGCTTCAAAAGAGCGGTTGCAAAAATGCGTACCCCCGTCACTAATGATAGCACTTGGTGTAGCAAATCGAGATAACATATTCTCTTTGAGAAATTTAATTACCGTCCTATTTTCATTGCTCTTGCAAGCTACTGTCTCTACCTATTTTGACACATAATCTACTGCCACAATAATATATTGATATCTAAAAGGAGAAAATAGTCTCATAAAATCAATGCCCCAACAATCAAAATTTTCAATCATTAAAATTGGGTTTAAGGGCATCATATTACCATGGGACATAACTCCTAACTTTTGACACTTTTCACATCAGCGACAATAGATGTTTACATCCTTAAACAATGTGGACCAATAAAATTCACACTGTAAAATTTTTGCAGAGATTTTTCTCATTGAAAAGTGACCCCAACAAACTTGAGAGTGATAAAATTCTAAGACATTGGCAATCTCCTACTTATGAAACCTTCGACCACTGGAAGGTTTGTAGGGATCTGTTGGCAATGGGATTTGCTAAAGATGATGTGCTAAACTCGTCTAAGAATTCTTTGGGCATTTTTACCTAAAATTGTGCTTCTATGCCCAAAATTGTACTAATCTGTAGAAATGAGTTGATGTAATATGTGGTACATCTCTTATGCACGGAAAATGGTGTGTATTATATTACAACTAATATTATAATATTATTAGAGTAACTAACGACTAAAAGTATGATGCAACGTAAGTAAAAAATAATAGATTTGAAGGAAGTAGACAATTTAACGTGAATGATTTTCAGAAGGATGTCAGTGATCGTTGAATTAATCTATTTGAAACCGTCGAATAGATTTATTAAAATCTACCTTATTTTATATTATAGATGAGTATGACAAATATTCAATTCAAAAAGTATATTTTTGTGTGGGTACAAATGAATTTTATTACTATAAGATGATTTATGTTAATTTTTATCAACTCAATAATTTGAAAACTTTGTACATTAAACAATCAATTCAAACAACATTTGTATTTTCATTGTTTTTTGGGTTATTGTTCAAAAAAATTTTACTGTTTTTTAAGCTATAGAATTATTTTTAGAGTCATAACCAAACAAATTCTGCGACACAAACACAAAAACACATTTTTCTAAAATTCTTCCAAAAATTTGTTTTCAAAGATGCAATCTAAACATGCCCTTGGACTCTCCTCATTCTCGTTTTTTTTCTCGTTTTTTCCTCATTTTTTTGGGTAAGCAACCCTACTCGCAATTGTCAAAAGGGAAATACTACGTTTGTAATGTGGCATTGATGAACAAATTAAACTTTACGTTCGTGTCTGGAGTATGTGCTTCCCAGAAACAGAAAAACTAATGTTGCTTTGGTCAATGAGTGCTGTGGGCAGTATTAGCGTGCATGGATTCAAAATCCATTGTTGCTGTCTAGTAGAACTGAAGCATCACAACTTTTGGAAACAAGAAAATAAAATCTACCGAAGATGAAAATTAAGCAGATCAAAAAATGCAAACACAGTTAAAATAAAGATAATCTACCAATAATTATAAGCTAAAAAAGAAAAAATGCCTCCGGTTTGAGAAACATAGTCTATGCTATCTAAAACAAAAATCAATACCAAACATGTATTAAATACCATAAATCCATGTTAAATAAATCCATGAATCTTAGCATCCAGACCACGATTCAGGTTTTAGTTATATAGGAATAATCAAAATGCATTTAATACAGAGCAAGCCAGAGACAAGGATAGAGTAAAGAAAGAACCTGTATATGTACCCGTATCACAAAAACTTCTTAACATTGATGAACCAGACACTGATACCTGTTCTCATCGCTCTGGCTCTATAAGCAAGCTCCCTCCGGCAGTCCAGTTTGAAGTTGAGAGAACAGGTAGGTTGTGAATCAAACATTGTATTGTAATAGAGGTGTCAACAGAAGTCTGCATTAAACAACAGGACCCTTGGCACTACAAATGTCCGCAAAACAATCACACAAAAATCACATATATTCTAGGTAACTGAGTACAAAGAGACTTTCAGTCTCTGTTTCATTATAACCACCTACAGCAACTAGACAGATTTTAGCGCAGCTATTACATAACATTAACTATAATATTTTTAAGCAAAAAAATGTTGGACGGCATTAAGTGTACACATTTAGGTATCCACAAGTAGCCATAACGAAGGATAGGATATACTAGTCTCCAGCATCTTCACCGTCTTCCTGGATCCGCCATGAGACAAGGCTGTTGACATGAGGCAGGCAAAAGCCATGTACTGGAAAACATCTGTTTTTTATTTCAACCTTTCTCATAATTTCTAAATGAAAATCATAAGCATACAGAGAACCATCTTTATCCTTGAAAATCATTTCACGATTAATTCTTGAACAGTAAAGTGGGATCATATCCGTTATGCAGCCCACCATGATAGTGTATTCCTTAGTCCAGTTTTCCCCGGATAAGTTCCCCAACATCCACATATCAATTTGGTTCATTTCTTCACGAGTCATAAAACAAAGACGCCCACCTATATCAACAATCCTATCATTACTTCTACAACTTTTCGGGAGGGATATATTGTGAAACTTTTCTTCGTTTATCTCCATAGATACTATATACTCACTGTGATCAATATGAGGAATCCAATGTAAAGCTCCAAGTGCAGAAACTGGTTCAAATCCAAACCAACCAAAGAGTCCAAAAGAGGGCCCATCAACCATCCTCCATGACCTCATTCCAAGATTTAGAATCTCACAACCAATGTACCGCAACTCATCCCGAAATAGGTGAACCAATTTATATCCACTTGTAGAATTGCAAAATGCTAATCCAAATGATTCGTCATGAGAAGAAAATAAGGTGCCTAGAGGAAGCCCAGTCAGCTCCCTCGTCACGGGATTCATGACAACTAGTCCTCCTTTCTTCATTGTGTTATCAAGCAGAATCAAGCCATTGCAAGTTGCTCTAATATTTCCCAAACAAGTAGCATTAAAATCTCCTATCCTGCTTTTGCCATCTTTTATTTCCATGAACTTTATATAAAACTTTGATCCTGGGTTCATAAGGGGTTGGCAAAATAGGGGTATCGATTGTAATTGAAAAAGCTTAGCTTCAACAGAAAATGTGTTAGGCTTTTCATTTGGAATTGATGTTCTAAAATAAGGGTGCAATGGTTCTCCAAGAACTGGAGAGAGAAAGACTAAGACTGTTTCAGAACGACCAAGATAGTCATTAATGAACACCGGGTCATTCACAATCTTATACCATGGCTTACAAACAAACCTTGACCTTGGTAGAGATTCAAGAGGAAGTCGAACAAGGATTTTAGAGATCAAAGGTTCAGGAAGATATGGTATAAGACTTTCTTGTTCCTTCTTTTTCTCTTCCTCCAGCTCCTTTCTTGACAATGCTCTCTGTTCTACTAACCTTAATAAGGTTGCGCTTCGGACAGCCATCGATTTTGACATCATATCTTCGCAGCAGGCCCTATAACTGTCATACATTTAAAGAAATGTCAAAAGCAAAGCGAAAGGAAAAAAATAAAAGCCATCCACTGCATAGAGAATATTATCAATAGTGAAAGAAGAAAGAAGGGAATTACGTATATGAAGTATGACAGGTTAAGATTATAACTATAGGGTACGTATATGAAGTATGATAGGTTAGGATTATAATTATGTCAAATACTGGTTGCAAAATGAACTCCATGATATAATCAATGTGTAAATTCCATCAGTAATAACACCAACTAATCCATTAGATAAACAAGCAACAGCCCCTTGTGCTCGGCAAAAATTGCTTATAATTAAAAAATAGAAAGATAAGAAATATTGTGCTTAGATAAAGGCATTAGGATAAAAAATAGGAGACAACTCCCAAAGATAGACTTGAATAGTAAAAAAAAGGAAAAAATCTAGAAAGCATGGATACGAATACGGATACAAATATGAGTGCCGTATTCGATACGATACGGACAAGGGAATACGACAAAATCCCAAAATATAGGATATGGGTACGACGAGACTACGACTAATTAAAATAATATAATTTGATATATATATATAAAATAACATTAATAATAAAATTGAGTAATTATTAATATTTTATAATTGAAAAAATGAGTCAATATTAAATTTAATTAGTGGGCTAAACCAGTAAGATGTCATTGTAATTTAACATTAAATATAAGAGTCGAGTTCGGTGGACACCACACCACCACAACGAAACTGAGAGAGAGGCGTGACTCATTAAAAGAAAAGAAAAGGAAAGTAGACGCAGCGAGAGAGAGATCGCTAATCAACCTGATCTAATCAGATCGCGATCTCAGATCACAGCGAGAGAGTCCACATCACAAAGGTCCAGGTCAAATGGAGAAGAACAAGAGGAAAGGATCTTCAGTATACCTAGCCAAGTTCAGATCTGTGGCTTTCAGATCTGTGGTTGAAGATGAGATGGAAAAAGAGAGGTAATGTATCCTTCCTGTATCCCTCCCATATTCGAATATATATATATATTTTGATTTTCTATTCAAGACACTTATGGAAGTATCAAACACATGNTATATCCTTCCTGTATCCCTCCCATATTCGAATATATATATATTTTGATTTTCTATTCAAGACACTTATGGAAGTATCAAACACATGTTCGACCGTTTTCCATGCATATCCATATTAGACACATGTCCAACACCATCACGTTGACCCCTGTCGGAGTATCTGTGCTTCCTAGGGAAAAATTCATTCACACCCCTCACAAACAATAGATAGTAGATAGGCCTAATTTGAACACCACTATACCTTTTTTAGTTTATATATCTGTTTCAACTACACCCCCTTTGAGTGTTAATGGTAGACCAAAAATGTCCGAAGTCATCTCAAGTTCTTTGTAAAATTTCAATTTCAACCTTGTCTTCATCTTTTCCACACTAAACCATAACACCTAAACGCACAATTGTCCATCTTCACTTAACATCGATCCTTAAATATTAGGATAAATCTCAAACACTCAAAAAAATTGTAATTGACCCCAAAATATTATTACTTAACCCCAAAGATTGTATTTTTTGGGATCGATCCTAAAATGATAGTAAAAAGGTGCTAAGTTGGTGTTGGCCATGACGCATATTTATCAATCCTGCAGCTTATGGTGAAACAAAAGGATCAATAGTTTGAGCAATTTATGCCCAATGTAAAACTTGAATCCACCTAAAGCATGAGATTCAATTACCTCACAATTTGTTCCAATCTCCTTTGGTCTCCTAATGTCTTCTAACTCCTCCTTAGTCTTGCGGTTTCCTCCCTAGGCTCTTGTTTACTAATGACATCTTTTATTAATTCAACCTCGGCCTCTCAATCAGGAACAACTAATAAACCTTTTTGAAGTGACAATGAATCATTAACGATATTTACTTCACCATCAATGATGATTCCATTGGAAAGAGATTTTGTGATTTAGTTGAACTGTTCCTAGTACACAATGTTGATCATCAATATTATCAACTTTACTTCATATATTTTATTCCCATAAACTTCAAGATAATTTTCTCATCCTAGCCCCAACCACAAAAAAAGTAAAAAAAAAAAATCTAAGTCAAATACGCAGATCAAATACAATAATACATACTATTTGTTTAACATAAAAGAGAAACATAATTGAAAATTAGGTTGACAAGTAAAATAATTTTTTTATAAATGTATATAAAAATAGGAATTTATACGAGTTGAGTAGTCTTAAAATAAATGAGATATTGTTAGATATCATAGAGAAAAAGAGCAATTTTTAAATAAAATATTTTAGTAAGACAACTATGGTTAATTAATTTAAGATATCTAGTGTATTACTTCAACTCACTTTATTTTATAGTCATCTTGTGCATAATAAACAAAGTTATTAAAAAATGACCTCAAATTTAACTTATACAAATATAAAATTATTATTCATACTTATTATACGATAGACAATTGATTTTAATAATAAAACTGCAAAGTGATAATACATATAATATAAATATCGGGTGAGATAAAAAAATAAACTAACCTTTAGGGCCCTAAATTTTTTTAAAAGAAGTTCTAAAAATTTTACAATAATGCGAGTTGCACTTAATTTGAGGACTAAGTACATTAAATAAATAGTGAATTTTGTTTAAACTTAACACTCACTATTAATTCAATAATTAAAATATATTAAGTATTTAAATTATATTCTAAAATAATCATTATTTATTTTATTTTGGGGCCCCAATTTTTCTTCCAATTTGGGGGCCCTAAGCAATGGCCTAAGTGGCCTAAAGGTTGGGCCGGCACAGGTAAAACTTAGACATTCAGGCCAAATACTATTAAATGGAGGACTTGCAGCCTTCTAAACATCAAAGGCCCCAAGAGACTTTGCAAGTATCCAAAATATGTTGTGCAGAAAAAATCATTCCTTCTTTTGTTTAGTCTTGGGCCTCATCTCTGTCATTGTAACTTTAGTGTTGTCTTCTTAGTCAAATATCAGCACCTGAGAATATTTCCCACACACTTTCTTTCTTTCAACATGGTTTCACTCAAAATCAATGTTTTTTTGGGCAAACCTGTTCACATCTCTGCTGCCCCAACAAATTTGGCACCACAGCTGGCCTTGGCGACCCTGATCTATGTTGGAGCCTTATTGGACATTTTTGGAACACAAAATCAGGTATCAAATTCTGGAGAACTGTATGATAATCCTCTTAATGGACTCTTAATTTCCTAGGTGAGGGAAAAAACTAAAGCCTCTGAACTTTTTAGAGTTCAAGAATAAACACGATGCCCAGTATCAGTGGCAAAATGAGCAAATAAAGCTCAAAGAATAGAATTAGAAGTCAGTCACCAACGTGGCCGGTGGAGTATCAAGAACAGCCGCAAATATGGCAAGATTATCTCGAAAAATGACCTGGAAAATGCATGCATGAAGACTTCTGCAGAAGATATGCACCGAATCCTTGAAACTAGAAATAATCTAAAATTCCCTTCTTCATAACCTTTTTTTTGCAGCAGCCTTCAAGGGAGGCAAAAAATCCCCAACAGACATGCATAATTATTACTTATGACTTAATAAGAATACGAATGAGAAACATTTAATCTTGATGAATCCTATGATCAGCCGAATAAAATGGATTGGGGTGGAATAAATAATGGAAACATGACAGCTACTACAATACAAAAACTTCTGGTTAGAAGAACAAGATCATCAATGCAACCCACCCATTTCAGTTTTTGTGATAATCAATGACCTAAACACAAATAAATAATAGAAGAAATTCAAGTGAAGATAATAAAATCACCAAAAAACCATACCCAGTTAAGTTTCCGCGATGATCGACAGAATCAAGGAATAAAAAAACTTTTATTTAGAAGAATGAAGAGCATGACTTACCTGAAATCAACGAGTTACATGCAGAGAAACAGCATCGACAAGCTTAATAGAACCATTGGTGAATATCGAAGGCGATGACCGTCAAATTTATTGTCTTAGTCTCACGAGGGATCCATTCCCAAGGCCGGCCAATTCGATTGCCTCCGATCAGTTCTATGTGGGTTTTGTAGTGTAGTTCGAATGCTGACATAACATTGACTTTGGCTTGACTTGGCTACTCCAGAAACCACTAATACATCTTCGTTCATGACCTGATTCCACTTTTATTATCCTTAGCCCATACGGCAAAAAAAATAAAAAAAGGATAAATCAAACCAAGAATCATTAGTGGTATCTTTCTATTTTGAGGATTCACACATTGAATTTTCTTTTAAAAAAATATAAAATATATTTTTAGTCATTAAAATATACATATAATTTTTATTTGGTCCTAATTTTTTAATTATATTTATTTGATATCCAATATTCTTAATTTGTATTTGATGTGGTCTCATCCCAAATGTTGTTAAAAAATTATTAATGTCTTTGGTCACATGATAATCACGTGAGATTAAATAGATACAAATTAAGAATTTTAGGAGTCAAATAAATATAAAATTAAGAGCCACGTCATTGACTTGTGACCACAACTATCATGATTGACATTTAGGGTTAGACCACGTTTATACAAATTAAAAATCTTAGGGAGTCAACATACATAGTTAAAAAATTAGAAATCAAATAGATATTAAATGCATACTTTGAGAACTAAAAATATATTTTACCCTTTAAAAAAAATATGAAAGATACCATGCGCAACTATTAAGAGGCATTCATGCTATTACAAAGGACATAAACGGAACAAAACAACATATATTCCACCGATCCCTCTTAAAGTTTTCGCTCACAAATAGGGATGTCAGTGGACCGAAGCAGGAACGAAGATGTAGTTTCCATTCCCGTACCCGTTTAAAAAAACTTCGTCCATCTCCGGTCCATCTCCGATAACAGGTATAATTTTTATTCCCATTTCTATCCATGNAGGATGTAGTTTCAATTCCCGTACCCGTTTAAAAAAACTTCGTCCATCTCCGGTCTATCTCCGATAACAGGTATAGTTTTTATT